AAGTTGTAAAATAGGCTGAAAATGTAAAATTGGTCTCATCTGAAACAGAAGAGACGTTGGGAGGGAATAACAAAAAATACAATAAGTACATGTAAATAAGAAAATCAAAACAAAAATAATTACAAAAACTTCTTGGCAGAAAAAAGTAAGAAAGATTCCAAAATTCTGTTTAAATAAGTGGGGGGTGATTTAAAAATATAATTATATTGTAATTAATTCAGTTTCAATAGTTAAAAAAATGTAGCTAAACAGATTTGAATTAATCAATAACGTTTCCAAACAAATTTTCTTAAAAATACAAGTCCCCATTATTATCATTGAATAGAACTTTTTAAAGTAAAAAGTGTAGTTTGTTTTAAAACGTATTGGGTGCCAATATAAAAATATCATTAATTATATCAGTTTAAATCTTTGAAAAATGGAAGCTAACCAATTCAAATTAATTAATTAATTAATCCCAAACAAATTTCAAAATAAATATTTTTGACATCTGCGAACATAATTTTTTGAAGATCACCTGTCGATGCATGTTCCTTCTTGCTCAGAGGTTTCTGGATTATCACTCTCAATTAATGATGTGCAAACCTGACCCGAAACAGGAACCGACCCGACCCGAAACCAATTTCGGGTTGGGTCAGGTTTTTTTGTCAATCTTTTTAGTCGGGTCCTGTCGGTTTAGCCATCTTTTGAATAAAACGAAAAAAATGTGGACAACGTGCGTACTATCTAGTTCTCACGGTATTAATTTCTCCACTCGGATTGGCCGCAATAGATAGATTGTAAGTTTTTATGATACCGCGTGGTGATACCATCATAATTGTTCAATAAGCGGAGTTACTCTCGATCAACCCACTGAATATCAGAAAGAGAGCCGATGGTTTACCTTTTGCAAAATGATTCATATGACACGTGGGTAAGGGCAGGCACAAAAAAGGTGATCACTTTTTCGGGTCGGTTCGGGTTCGGGTCGATTTTACATTATTTTTTGTCTTGTCGGGTCGGGTCAGTTGAGGGTCGGATTCGGTTTATATCTCTAATGTTTCGGGTCAGGTTGGCCTGGTCAACCCGACCCGATGCACATCATTACTGTCAATGTCAACAGACCAGTCCTTGTCCAATCCAAAACCTAAAGAGGACATAGGCTATAGAATTTATGAGAAAATACTGTTTATATAAGAAATGAAAATGTGCATGCCATTAAAAAAAAAGTGTACGGTACATGCCACGCACCGGCCGCGTACACACGATGTCACTGTGCACGAACCGCCACGTTGACCCGCCGCTGCTCGCAGAGGCCTGACGACTCAAAGCGGGAAATCACCCTGCGCTTTATTATATGTCATCGTAGCACACAGTCCCGTTTTGGTCCCTAATTAAAGTGTCCCTAATTAAAGCGGTGTAATAACACGCAGGAACGATTCCTGCATCCTCGGCCCCATGCATGTATGTCGCTTCCAATAACCGACTTCAATACTCTGCAAGCTCCTTGTGCACAAACCATGGAGCTTGGTACCAACATTGGATGGAACACTCTGATTGGCTAAGAATCAGGAGGATATGAATATTTATATTATTTACGCATCTCGTTCGGTGCACGTGCTAGGTTTGATCCGATCCCATGGGTGTTATACCGGTATTTCACTGACGTGTGTGGCAAATGCTTCTAGCTCACCATACAACACAACTTGGATTGAATCAATTGCTTGAGAGGTCAAAAGCTAATTCCCGGGGTCGTTTGGAATCCATGCATCATTATATTCCTTTTTGAAAAACAAGATTTGGACATTATATTTTCTATTTTACCACTGAGTGTAATATATCATTCGAAAAAGAGAGAGAAAAAAAAGAGATACATTGATCAAGCATGCTGCGAACTTCATCCCCACTCTAATAATGGATGCTTCCCAGCGATACAGCCAAGTTATCAGTGGCCCTCTTTATGGAAACGTAATGTGCATTTTGCTAGGCGCAAAAAATGAATAACCATCCGAATTCATATTAGTCAAGTCGTTGTACCTGTTGGATGCCGGATGTAAACACAATGTAGGATGCCAGCTAGCGCTGTGCTAGTAAATATTGGGGATCTTGTCGGACTTGATTTGAAGTCTACCATATCACACTATTTCACACTATTTCAGTGGAAAGGTCCGTTGCTAGGGTAGCGGAGGATAAAATCACGATTGGAACTATTTTGTCACTTGATAATCACTCAGGTAGATACTTAAAGCTATAATCCATCATTTGTAATTAGTGCATTTTGTTCATTTGAAGCAACAAAAGTGTTCAAAATCTAATGAAGGATACTGAGCAACTAACCTGATGAAGTTTCAGCTAAGCTTCAGCTGTACATTCCGAGAAAAGCAGCATTCTAAGATCTCAATTTCAAATCAAAAGTTACTGAATCATGTTTTGAATTGTTTTGAATTGCAGCTATACGCGGCATCGCGCACTGATCCGACGAATTATAACAACCGCGCGCGCGTGTGCGTCGTTCCAATACTTGTGCGCGCTGCGCTGAATAACAAAACGAACTACTAATTTAAATTTTCCTACGGTGCTTCTTAAGAATCACCGTTGGAAATACCTTCTTTCGTTGATTACTTCAAAATGACAGCTTTCCAGAAAGAATAATTTCACAGGGAGTTTAGTTCCCTTACAATCTTTCAACCAAGTTTGTTTTTCAACAGTAATTACGCCAGTTATTTTTCGGATGGCTGCAAATGATGGACTATAGCTTTAACTGCTTATTAGCAAACAAACGTTGCATTCTGTACCTTCAGAGGTCTAGTTAACATGTGGACTGGGACCGTAACTGCATAAAAACATGCAAAACTAGAGGTTGTATAAACAACCACACGGTGTTGGGCCATGGATTACCGCAGACTTTGCCACACACATCAACTCAAAATATGCATGTTTAAATCCATGTTTGAATTTTTCAACTTGCCGCCAGAGGGCGCTCTAACATTTGATGACGTCACCTGTAAAATGTTTGTACAGTACTGGCCACACAGACACTCACATCTTTGAAAGCAAGTTCGCATCTTCTGCCAATTTCAAATAATAAGGCACTTCCGGTTTCGACCGGAAGGAAGGGTCAAGTGATTTTGCACTTAATACCAAAAATGAAGACCCTGCAATATTGTATCGATTGCTAAAAAAAAAAAAAAAAAAAAATCTGTAGCAGTTGATTTTATATTGATTTTCAAAGATTAAATCTAGAAATCTTTGATTGCTTGTAATATGATACTTGATGACGTCATTGTGACGTCATTACCAGAAAGTTCAAGAGCTATTTTAACTGTGCTATAGTTAGCCAAATCTTGATTATATCTATCACGGTTGATTTTTTAGCAATTTTTGAAGGTTTAAAGGTCTTTTTATTGTAACTTCCGGTCTGATGACGTAATCAATTTTTTTTCGCGCACAGGTGTTGTCTGCATTATGGTCATCATGAACATTAATTTTGAAGCGATTACCGCAAACTTCGCCACAGACATCAAGTGAAAATGCGTTTTTCGCGTTTTTTAACCTGCTGCTAGAGGGCGTTCCAACTCTTCATGACGTCACCAATTATTTCAACACCGTTGAAAGCAAGTTCATATCTTTTTCCACTTTTAAATTATTAGGCACTTCCGGTTTCGACCGGAAGGAAGGGTCACGTGATTTTACGCGCACAAGATAAAATGAAGATCATATATTATCATGTCGATTCCCGCAAAATTCAAGTTGCGGTCTCTGACGGTTGATTTTATATTGAATTTCAAAGATTAAATTGAATATTTTTTGAAGTGACGTCACGTGACCCTTGATGACGTCATGATGACGTAATTGCAAAAAAGCACATCTTCAGTTGGTTGTGCATTCATGTATTGACAATTGAAGTTCATATATGTTTTCATTTTGACAAACAGTTCCGGAGAAGAATGTGTCTAGAAGAATAATAAAAAAAAATAGTAAATTCTTACAATAACAATAGGTGTTGGGCTGAGGCCCAACACCTAATTACTACTGACTTTTTTTTACTACCCATTTGGCTAACTACCGCCTACGCAACATGTACCTTAAAATGCTATAGTTACAAGCATATCTCCTGTGAAATTTGAGATCTTAAATCCAATTTTTAAGCAAGTTAATGGCAGCTTGAAGTTCACCCATTTCGTTCTAGAAAGCTTGTGTGCTTCGCAAAGTATTCTGGGTCAAATGTAAAAAGTACTTGCAGCTTACTTGTTTTTTAATCGTTGGCCAAATAACATAGCGGCCTCTATTGACAACATACATTATACATATTGCAAGTCTGAGGTTGTAACAACAAGAGGGCGCTGTTTCACTTACGCGACCATATATGAAAATGTCACAGCTGAGGACTTTTTTGTTTGTATTATCCACAATTCATTACAACACACATCAACGTGATGTATCATTATTCGGATTTAAGCAACACTCTGAAAAATATAATTAACAACTAAAATTTTGAGGGTGCGATGCTCACAACAACAACTTAGCAACACAGAAGTTTTAGAGACTTTGAGCAAACTGTGGTGAGTAAGAAGCTTACATACATGTATGTACATAAATTAATGTACGCGGCGCTGCTTTTTTTACGCAGCACAAGCTTTTGCACAATATACCGGTACATGCCTTAATTTTTGGGACTTTCATACAAGTAGTATTGAGAGTCCCAAAGTTTTGGACTAGGTAATATGTAATTTCAGGCGAAATTGGGACGGCTTTTAAGTAGAAACAAACAAGATGGAGTCCATATTCCTGTAATCTGCTTGAGGTCATGGGTCATGATACTCGTGCTTTCCACTTTGCCAAAGTGAACTGATTGGGCCCAATTCTCACTGTGATTACTAGACAGCTGCCTTGACCTGATGAGCACTATCAGCTGCGAATTTGGATAAGAATCGGTCTAAAAGACAGCTTCAAATGACATCGCAATATGTGAATTCTCTAGTCTGTTTAATATAATTTTTTTTAATTGTTACAAATAACAGATGGGTTGGAGATGAGGAGGTGTCGGTCTGTATTGGGTGCGACAACAAATTCAACCAGTTACGGAGAAAGCATCATTGTAGGCAATGTGGACGAGTCTTGTGTGCAAAATGCTGCAAAGAAAAAGTTCCACTCCCCCACCTGGGCCTAGAAGAGCCAGAGAGAGTCTGTGACTTGTGTCTGCCAATATCGGAACTCATCACCAAAGCCCGCTCCAAAATCACAGTATGTACATTGTTATGTTATTGGTCAGCATTACTACTAGGTAGCAGTTTGGGTGACTTAGACAAAGTTGCTGTATATTGCTTTCAGTGGTGTAGCAAAGCAAGCCTCCTATAAACATCCATTTATAACACTAACAGATTTCATTAAAGAAACAATAAAGCGTATACTGTGTTTAAATACAGCTTATGAAATTCTCAGACTTCTTGAGGGTTATCATAAAAATCCACATAGAACACAACCATGTCAGGTGCCCTGACTTACGGTACCCCGCCTATGGGGTTAGTTGAAACATGTTGTGGGGTTATAATAAAAAAAAATTACATATTTATTTGTGTTCAAGTTAATAAAAACTTTTGAAGCACTGTAGCATTAAATCAAACAAATAAACAAATCTGTAGATGGTGTTCAGGTATAATTTGGGGCATGAACTGTTTTCCAAACAATATGAGGCATCAACTATTTTTACCCCTCAGCCGAGAAGCTTGAGGGGTATTGTCATCGCCTATGGCGTCCGTCCGTCCGTCTGTCCGGGCAGCTTAGTTTCCGGAAATTGAAACTTCCATTCTCATGTCGGAGGCAAAGCACTCATGGTGGTACCGCTAAAAAAAAATAGCGGTACCGCTATTATCACCGGCGTTTTAATAATGAGATCCTCCCTAAAGGGGTCATTCTTCAGCAAGTGTCTACTTTTGGCCTTTTGAAAGTTTTGAAATTTTTTTTTCAAATGTAGAATTTCTTGCATGAGATGTGATCATTATGTTGTACGGCAACTATAATTAGCGCACGGCGCGATCTTTAGGGGAGTTTAAACTATTTTTTCAACATTCAATTTTCAGTGTTGTAGCATAGGAAAAAATGCAAAAGTCATATCCATCTCACCTTTTGTGACGGAAATGACAATATTTGAATGAATGTGAAGCTGAGTAAATTCAAGTGAAAGCTTTTAAAGTATGAACATAGAATAATAACCAGTGAATAGAGGGGCTTTTAACATGATAAACCCTATTCATTATCATCCTTATTTTATTACCATTATCGACTAAAGAAAACATCAAGAAATCATTTCTGTCACGGTAAAACGTGACGGAGCTGACTGTGATGGAGCTGACAAAATTAAAAATCAAACTCTTATAGCGCCATCTACAGTTTGTTTAAAGCATGAACACCACATGCACTTGGAAGTTTACACAATATTGATCATATTCATGAATACTTTGTTAGAATAAAATATATATAAGGCATGTTTTAAAGCGTTCGGAGATGATGCCAAATAAAGGTACGCACCTGTAATTTAGCTAAAATCCTAGGTTGATGGGTTTTTATTCATGATACCTGGAGAAAATTTGAACATAATGCACCGTCGTATCTCGCGCGTGTACAAAGACCGAAGCAGTGTTTCTATTCAGTTTTTATCAACTATTGAGGGCGCTGCAAAAGTTTGTGACGGTATCTGACTGAAATCCTCGGGCCAAACATTTTCCGACAAAAACAATAAAAGTTAGGACCTAATTGGTCTATCATGTCATATTTTTAAGGATTGAATAGATTTAAGTAATAAATACCTATCGTTTAAGAGTATTTACATGAAGAAAAGTCCCTCCAACAAATATGATCGGACTTTTTACATAGTACGATCAGGACATGTGGGTTTTCTGAAGGTCAACATCAAACATCAAAAAATAATGAATATAAACTTTATTCTCTAGCTTTTTATGATCACTTATTATCAGAAATATTTTTATTAACATAAATCCACAAAAATACATATCATGAATGTATGCATATTCCGTCTATACGGTGTCAAAGTATCAGGACATGAAAGTAGACACTTAACGAAGAATGATCCAAAGTTGGACAATAGTGGTATCCCATAAACCCAATATGTAGAGGTGTGTGCGTGTATTGTTATATGGCACCGCAATGGAACACGTGTTTAAGTGTAACTTGTCGCACTTCTGGTAAGATGATAAGTGGTTTTTGTGATTTATGTTTTTCTTTATTTTGACGCTGGATTTCCAGCAACTACCCCGTATGCGAATACATGAGATGATTATTCAGTGCTTGGTCATGGCGGTTCATATTTTACATTAGACAAAGAGCTGCATAGTGCGGCTACATTCTCCAAAAGTTTGGAGTCCCAACACCAAATATAACTCATATAAATCCAGTGACAAAATAACGAAAAATGCCTGAAAAAGATAAGCCATCGCTTTGGTTGTTCCAAGGCGTTCATTGAGCCCCACCTGATTTGCATAGTGTAGCCTAGCCTAGCTGCGCGAGGTCCCTGTTCGCGCTTAAGCTTGACACAGTATTGTGAGTGCATTGTTCATAGCCAACCATTGATCATCGCACTCTATTACCAAAAACCTTGACCAATGCTAGTATTTGCCTTAATTTGTAGCTTAGTAATAAAAGAGCATAATAGTGATAAATGTACTCCGAACTTCACAAGACAAACTTACCTCTCTTACTCCAACAGTGTTGTACCACCAGTCCTGTAGGGAATATGATGGAGTGCTGTTGCTAATACCTACCACTAGGTAGCATTATTTCATAAAATTAAATAAACTTTTGTCAGAAAATCTGAATGTTTTAACATACCTTGCACTCTAACTAACCGCACTCTCCCCTACTCACCTTTGCCTTTTCCAGATTACTTACATGATCTTTCTATTCCAATGTCACAAACTAATATGTGGTCATTGGTTGTGAACTTGGGTCTTCAGTTCTTAAAATGGTCTTTAGGTTTCAACCATGTAAAAAGAGTGAGTAGCATACACGTAATACCAGCCAAATTATGTTCCAGATGTGCCTTTGGATGTCAGTTATTGTCAAGATACATGTAATATCTCTTTTGTTTTACTTCTGTAGCAGTCAATCTTTGTATGAAAGGTGCTTCTGGTGAAAAATGTCAACTGGTTTACAAACATACAACTGACTTACAAACAGACTCCTTACATGAAGACCATCTCCTTGTATCAGTAGACGCAAAGACCATTACTAATCATAGTTCATACAGTCATCTGTGGTTTCCTCAGATGACATAAAATTGTCAATTGTCTTGTTTATCAAAGACATGCACTACGCTTCAGTGTTACACGGCTGGCAAACATTTGGGCAGTTTGGTAGGAAAATAGAAATGGATTTTGTGTGTTAACTTTATACCTGTTGTTTTACCTATGTAGTATGTTGTGTTTTTCCTAGGCATTTCAGATAGAAGCAGCGAATGGAATCTCCAAAGGTGTCCAAGAGCCCGAGACCATTATTCAAATGGTTGAACTGGGCGGCCTTCAGACTTTGATCTATCTGACAAGGGTTAACTCAAGTGATCAGGTCAAAAGGTCATGTGCCTCTGGTCTACATACCCTGGCTACACATCAGCCATTACTGCCAGTATTAGCAGAGGCAGGGGCCATCAAAGCTTTATGCAGGTGAGCCAGTAACAGTATCATTAGTAGGATTGCACGGTCTGTATATGCAGGTCTTTACTCTTTACAATGTAAATGAGTACCTTTTGTGTTTACATGTCATCTAGCCATCGAGCAGGAGGTGGATAGGGCTGGCCAGAACTATTGAAGATTATACAATGCTTGAAAAAAATCCCTGTCATCTGATTAGTTGGTTGTTAAAACACAATGAAAAGACACCAAGGCTGGTAAGAGGTACCCTTGATATGGCGGTCATTCAGTGGAGTTTGCTATATTAACCCTAACGATCCCCAACCAGGCAAATTCCAACACCAGGGTTTGTTGGAATCTGTTAGGATGAGTACTGTACTAGTAAACTGACCGTGCTTTACGTGGGATTAGGCATACCACAAATAAACAGAGCCCAACTGTTTATGTGCACTGTTTACAATATGGTGTTGGGATTTGCAAGGATGAGGTAAATCACCCTAGGGGTTAGGGTTAAAAAGTAAAATATCCTTTTTATAGAAAGGTTGGCAACTGCACAGCAATGCTCAAATCAAAATTATAATGCAATACATATATATATCATAGTTGAGGCATTGTACCAAACCAGACTCTGTAATGTGTTGATGGTGCAGCTGCAGTGATGAAAAACCCTTTGGTTCATTAGATTACATTTATTTTGTTCTACATTCTGGGGAAAATAAACATACAGTTTATTGTTCCATACTTCCTGCTAAGCTTGTGCTGTCCTATATATTCTTTACAAAGAATGGCACAAAGATATGTACTTCATAAAAATGTTTGTATGCCATTTTGGATAAGATACGTTGCTGAATTCTTGAAAACAATTGGTTTGTTTTTCTTGCAAGTTATCAAAGAACATTAGGTCCAGAAAAGGGGTGTTTTTTGTATACTGCAAAAAGCAGAAAAGTCCTATTTCTGTTCATTGATGGATGTACTTGTACATGAAGCTCTACTTTTCGTTTAATCTATTTTTTAACATTAATCTTGCAGTATTCTGACCAACGTCTTGGAATCTCAGGAGAGATTGATTGTCGATGGACTCAGTGCCTTAATGCTTTTCTGCAAAAATTCAAGCCTGAAAACCAGAGGTATTGAGTGTTAAAATGTGTTAAGTGGGCTGAAAATGTGGATATATTGTGACCTAAATCCTTGGCATGCAGCTGTGTGTCTACAGAGTGGGAAAAAAAATGAAACCAAAAAAGCAGGACCAATATTGACTGCTGCAGAAGTAAAACAAAAGAGATACTTCATGTATCTTGACAATAACTGACATCCCAAGGAAACACAGGATGCAAAGTTTCTCCTGGGTGATACAAAGTATCCTGTTGGATTAAACTTAAAGGGAATATACAACATTTGCAAACATCAGAAAACAAAACTACCAAATTATTATGAAATACCTTACTGGACTGTTAGTGAATGACAGTCTAAAGCATCCTGTAAAATCATGGCACCTGGTGTGCTGTCATTTCCAAGAAAAGTGGTATTTTTGTATCAGTTTCCAACGCTGGTCGGCCGACCAGCGTTGGAAAAACCTGACCTATTTCAACTACTGCCCCCAGTGTTTGCAATTGGTTACACGTCCGTGAATGGTACTAGTCAGCTAGACTGGTTATCTGACCTTACAATTCCTTGATGTCCATAAATTGCTCTGTTTCATCTTAAGTGGGGTCAGGGTACCAGACTACAGGAATATGATTGTTTTTCTTGGTTTTTCCAGCATCTACGGACACAAAACTTCATAAAAGTTAGTGAAACAATAATTGCTGTCAAATACTAACCCCCCAAGCCATTCATTTCTGAAAATTACAGGAAAAGCAAATGTTGTATATTCCCTTTAAGGGCCTGTCAGCAGTCACAGCTGTAGTCAAATACTTGTCTTAATTCAAGAATATTGAAATTGAAGGTGATATGATACTTGGAGGCAAGCAGATTGAGCCCCAACTTTTGAGTGAAGTGGCAGTATGCATATATGGACAGAGACTAGCTTACCCAAATCCCTTTATGCATATTTCATGAAACATACAGACCATTTTGACATCGTTTGAACTGTTTTCCTGGTTAAGAGTTACATTCACTGTAAAGGTCAAAGTATAATATGTCTGACCATTTGTTATTCCCCAAGCAAGTGATTGGGACATATAGATATGGAAATATGACACAAAATTTGCATTAATTAAAGTGGCAACTCATGTAAAGCTCTACTATACCATGAAATTTTACAGCTAAATGTGTCTAATACTCTGGTTTTGTAAACCCTTTTCAATTTTACCACTTGCGGGTGCCCCCCCCCAAAAAAAAAAACAATGATAGGTGGTTCCCTCTTACAGTCTCACTGGAAAACAATGAAGCGTAAAAAAAAAAAAAAAGTGTAGAACATGATGTCACTTGTAGTAGTTTCGCGAACCATGCGTTCTGCTCCATTGATCATGGTTACTGTCAGTATAGAGAGAGTGTTCCATTCCTGTAAGATGTGTGTGTCTGTGATTTCAGAAATGCTATGGGATTCATTCTTGTGCTTTCAAGCAAGAAATCTTGATGGCTGAAGTTATGAAACAAAACAGACCTATTTTCAATATTCAGATTCAGATATTTGTGACACCGAAAAAAAAGTACTAGTCATTTAATCTGTCCCCTTTCCATTGAAATTTCTCAATTATACCATTAATTTTTAGTTATGATAAAGATAAAGAAATTCCACTCGCAAAACCTTTCAAACACAACCTATTTCTTTCAGCCAGATTTTTGTTTTGAGGGTTATGAGTGAAACAATTTATTGAACGTCCTCAACAATATCTTTTGGATGTTTTAAACTCAGAACCATTACTTTACAAATTGAATAAATCCATTGTAATCAAAATAATTCCTTTAAGGGGATCTTAAATCTTAGAGGAAAGAATAAATTTAAGAACCTCAAAACTTTTAAGAACCTCAAAAGTTTGATATTTAGCATTATTCACGTTAAAACAGACAATTTTAAACAGTTTAGACCTCAAAATAATTAGTGTTTGACAAAGATCGTTAAATTGTTATCATTCTGATTGTTGTCATTTTATTAAGACTTAGTTTCTATAAGCAATGAGGGTTCGCCTGGCCCGCTACGTGGTGGGAGGCGGCTTTGCCGCCTGTCACTTGCTTCGTGGTGAAGCTACTCGTGAACAGACATATACACATACACCATTTGATCACACCCAAGTTGTTAAAAGCAGACATAGAGACCTCAACAGAAATTGCATAAATGATATTTGAAACAATGAAACCTTACCAAGTGACTGGAAGGGGGATTTGATAGTGAAGCAAAGAAAGGTGACATTACTGACTGCGGAAACTAGACAGGGATATCATTGTTACCAATAGCTAGTAAAGTGCTGGGAAAAAGAATCATTCACAGGATTAAGACAGGTATTGATAAGAATCTCAGACCTGAACAAACAGGTCTTCAAGAAGGAAAGATCACAACAAAGCAGATCTTCATCTTGAGAAACATAATGGAACAATCCACTGAGTCCCAATCTTGACTTTTCTTCAATTTCATCGACTTTGAAAAGGCTTTTGATTTCATGATACATCATTATCTAGGGTCAGACAAGATTTGAAAGTTTGCAAAGTCAGCAAAGAGTTCAATATGCGATTGCACAATAAGGTTGTCCTGTTGTTCTATACAAACTGTTGGAAAGCCACCAGGAGATGCCTGAGGACGGGCATAGCTTACTGGCACAAATGTTAGATTTCCTGCTGTTATTCTTGTAACCAAACAGTTAAACGAGTTTCGTTTCACATGGTGCGACCGCAAATGCAAAACGCTCACAAGGCTCCTAACCTTGATTGTCTTTTGATGCAGCAATCCATGATGGTGCTTTACAGCCAGTACTTCAACTGTGTGGTATGTCGTCATCAAGTGCTATTGCCCTGTTGGCTGTTCAAACACTCAACCTCATAACAGAGGATGCAAAAAGCCACCAAGCCATCATTGAGGTTAGTTAATACATGATGACCATGATGTGCAGTCAGCAGGTCACAGAGAGTCTGTGAGTTCTTGGTAGTTCACCCTGAACCCATGTTACCACTGGGCTACGTCATGTATGTGTTGCATCATTACATCAGTATCAGCATTGAACGATTTCATCCCAGCCAAATTAAGCTTTGACATCTTAGTAATAACTTGTTTTCGAAGCTCTTAAAGGAGCACTAGGTCCTCAAATTCCCAAATTTGACAGGAAACCAATCTAATGTCTTGCCGTTCCTGAGAAAACACAAAGAAAACACGGTTGTTTACATCCGATGTAACGGAGTACGAATACGTTGTTCCTGTCGTTTCAGTCAATGTACGATATACACGTTGTGTGTACGTATACAGCACCATGCTCGCAAACAGCGATGACCAATAACCAATGCGAAAAATCAGGTTTCTTACACGTCCGTTAAAGCCGAACTCTTTACGGTTGAAACTAGCACCCAAACAGCTCGACTTTTTGGGGTCGCAAAAGTGGACCACAAAAGTCTTTCTCACACAAATAATACAGGAATAGCACAAAAACGCCCAGTTTTTAAAGGATATTTGTGTGGATGTATATATTCTTCTTTTAAATGTTCTTTCCGATTAACAGCATTTTGTTCAAAGCGCGTTTTGTAGCCCAATTGGGCTGTTCCAGGACGCAGTGTCCCTTTAATGAAAGTTTGTTGTAAATGCCTCACAAATGGTTTTCATGTAACTTAATTTGTCTCAACGAAATTTTGCCCATCAGTGTTCCTCAGAGGAATGTTCACAATTCAGTTAGGACCCAGGATTTATGTTTTCCCTGTGTTATTTTCGAGTTTAATAATAATAACAATAATAATTAATTCTGATATAGCACATTACATACTAAAAATCTCAATGCGCTTTACAACATTTATCATAACTGAAATGTTATTAGAATACATTTTAAAAATAGATAACTTTTCTAAATTGTTAGTTTTCTAGACATACAAAGGTTATTCCCGTTTGAATGAGACATCAACCAAACAAATTGGCCCATGTTTAGTTATCAAATTGTTACTTTACAATTTCAAATCATTGGCTGCCGGACAATTTTTCCTTTCCATCGGATCTGTATCAATAATGTACGGAGCCAGTCTGCTGGCATAGAGGATCTGTTTGTGCTCAAAACAAAACAAAATTTCAGAGGGTTGCAGACATCCAGAAAAGGAAAAAGGTTCATATTATTGGTTAAAACAAAACAAACAAGTTTAAAATGTATTAATAGAAAACAATACTAATTTGTTGAAGAGCACGGGAAATGCAACTTAACAGGAGTTGGCTGTATGGTCATATATTCATAATTAAACTTGCTTTTCCAACTAAATCTCTTTTAAGTTGTTGTAATTACAACCTCAACAGAAAGAAACAATTTTCATTTTTTTCAGCTAAAGTTGCTAAATACATTGCCCCATAATAGAGGCACCTTTTTTATAGAAAAGTTCACAAATAAACTTCACATCCAGCAACTTCAGACTTAGAATATGAGCTCTCAGACAATATCTTATCAAAAAGTGGTTTCTCTGATCCTTCTCATTGTCTTATGTTGTGAGCCTTGCAGTAGTGATGTGCACAGCAATTATTTGAAAACATAGCCAAATGAGCCAATTTGCACTTGCAGGATTTGCACACTCACTAAAAAAGTGCACTCTGATGACAAGTGAAATTATAAAAACCAACTCTTTCCCAAACCACTTTTCAATTTACTTTTGAAATCAGGACCTTATTAAAAACTGTAACTTTCCATGGTGGTAAATGAGAATGTTTTTATTGCCAAGCACTATTGACTGATTTTACTATTCAGAAAAATTATCAATTTATCATGCTGAACTTTTCTACTGTTTTTGTCTGTCAGAGCAACCATAATGCACTCGGAAAACTTCTGGCACTCACAGTTTCACCAGATGAACAGGTGAGTTGGACTGGGAGAGTGTAATTTTTTTTGGGGGGGGGGGGGTTACTTTGTAATGGACTTTAAAAAAAGGGGAAAAAATGGAAGATACTGAACCTTTACCATGACATCATACACAGACACTTTAATTTGTTTAGCCCTAACTCCCTAGGGGGTGTGCAAAATCGTACTGAAATTGGAGGATTCAGGACTGTCAGGGCTAATGCATTAATTTGTTGTAGGCCTATAATTAGCATCCCTCAGCAATTTGTGGAACACTTTATTTTCCTCAGCACCACCTCAGAAAAAATGAACCTTTACCAAAGCTTTCCCAAGAAATCCAATTGTAACAAATTGTTCAATGTTAATTACGTCATATTTTCTCCCAGTGTAATCTTGTGAAGCTGTTAATGTGAAACAGCTTCAATCAGTATCTTCCATTCAGTAGAATCTTGCTATAGTGAACACAGGAGGTACACAAAGGATTGTTCGGTACAGTGGTTGTTCTTAGTAATTATTTGCCATCAATACTTGGTATAATTGAACATACAAGTTTGGATCCAAACGGGATGTTCATTTTAGCCAAAACTGTACAGTGCAGTGATGTTTATCAAAGCATAGCACTGCTCTACTGTATTAATTTGTTAATTTCTGTATAATTTTTCAAATACTGTATACATCAGGAATATCATTTGAAATACATGTCATGAGTTGTTCAATCATCTGTCAATAGATTAATCAAAGCATTCTTATTTCTTGACTCGACAGATGCAAGAGGGTTCATTGAAGACGCTGGCCAAGCTATCTATGGGAACAGAATGGCATAGACACAAGATCATTCAGGTAAAAATGATATGCACTGTACACACTGAGAGACTTCAAATGATCAGAGGAATGCAGTTCTAAGGGACACCTGGACTTGCTGGTTTCCAAAGTATGTGTTCCAAAATACAGGTTTAGGTGTATACTACATCACCTTTCATCATGTTAAAAGCCCCCAGTTACAGCATTCCCAGTACCTAAACAAGGCAAAATAAATGCATTGTGATGTCCAGTTGTGCAGGTTTTATAGTTAACACACAGATTCACCAATAACTGTTCATATTATGAATTTCAGCGGAATAGATCTCTAGGTCATCTGAATGTTAACCCGAACCCTCCTCAATCCTCCAAAATCCCCCTGGCAGTTTTGGGGGAATTTGGAGGATCGAGACTGAATGGCAAAAAAAGTGTTGGTTGATTTTGAAGGATGCATTGTCTAGAGTTGGTAGGCTGTACCCAGCATTGTTTATGTTCAGCCATGCATAGTTGAGCCCTGCATTATGCTTGATTTATCCGCACTGCTTCTGAATGTCAGCAGCACTGCCTCAACCCATTAATGTTGTTTTGTGTTTTGAGGATTTTGAAGGATTTAGGCAATGGTCCCCCTCCACTGAACAAATTCAAGAAATAACGAATGATTCTGGAGGATAAAGGCTGAATCCAATTTTTACATGGTATCAATTGGAGGATTTTGCAGGATTGAAGATGGTTTCTAACCAAAGGGACCTAGGGGGTTAGGGTAAAGTGTGCTCATCCCTATCCCAGTGCAGCAGAATCGTTGTCATCTAATATTGTCAATATGCGTAAAGCACGTTAAATTTACGTGTTGCAAAAATAAAAATGTACCTTTAATTAACAATTTTCAGTGAATACAATGATGTTGTTTTATTTAGGAGGATTTTACAAGTGGAAAGATGATCCTCCGAGCCCTCAAGAACAGACCCAAGAATATCCAAGTCTTATGCAATGTCTTATGTCTGGTTGGTAACCTAGCAACTTGTGAGCAAGATCAGGTAAAAACAGCTGAAACTGCAAACTTTCTATTTATTGGACAGATGTGATAATTGTATTATAGTCAAGTCTTGAATTTGTGTATGTGGATAATAAAAAGTCTTTTGGTTTTTAAATCGCAAGAATGCTAAACTAACCTTTGCACTAGTATCCAGCTACTCAAACTCAAAAATGTACGTGAATGAGAATGGTACTTATTAGAGAGAGAGTTTTTTTAGAGTGTCCAAACATGTTGTGCTCAATTGACAATTGTGCAGTGATGCGTGACAGAAATGAAATGAAACTCCTAGGCATTGAGGCCAAAGATAAGGAAAATGGTGGCTCAGACCCATTCAGAGACGCTCTTTCTTATAGACTGACAATACCCGTAAATATGTACGGGTTTGGGTGTTTTCATCTTAGTGTTAATTTCCATTCTGTCAGGTTTGACAGGATTGGGTTGGGAAATTCAAATATTTTTTCGGGGGACCAATATAGTGGGTTTATCCTTTGGTGTGAAGGATTGTTATGGACATTGGGAAAATATTTCATTTCCTTTAGGGTGAGCAGGAATGCATTTTCGTCCAATCCAGGACTCATCAGCCGCATTGATTCCGAAGAACCGGGGTAGTCCAGAGTTCGGTGTGTGACCGTTGGGTGTAAATGAGAGTGAATCCGTTGATGATGATAATGTAACCATGATGGTTTGACACATGATTGTTGTGACTGTATTTCGTTCTTCCAGTAGGATTGGATAGGAAGAAGAATTTGGAAAGTTCTTCACAAAGGTTTGAATGGTCTTTGCATGTTTGAGGGGTTTGTTTTGCATGACATATGCAATTCTCATTCGTCTTTGGAAGTGACTAATATTATCAATGAGTGAGCATTGGGTGGGTTTGGCCGGAGTGGGAACCAAGTTTAAACCTTTACTCGGGGCTATTCTCTCTGATGTGGAGAGAGATAGCTTATGATAGGTTGAGTATAACACGTTCTCAGTATTTTGTTTTTGTTTTTAGCCAAAGCAGCTTGGGATTGGGGTTTATACTTTTACTCGGTGGAGTTATGATTGGTGGCGAGTTCAGCTATATTGTATTTGCCTTGTAGTTTTTGGTCAGTTTTCTATTTGCCATTATATGTTAAGGGATTATAGTCAGACACGTTTAAGTCTCTTTTTTGAAGATGTGATGTCTGTGAAAAGAGCCGTTTGTGTCTTTTGTCCTTTCGTTGGTGGTTTCCTGCTTAGGAAGTGATGGAAGATCTTGAGTACTGTCTCGATGTTTGATGAGATGTTCCTTGATTTGTTTGATGGCTTCATCTTGCTTGGTCTTGAAATTGGCACGGTTTGTTTCCCTCAATTGTTGAAGCTTTCGCAGCATCAGCTTTATGAGTGTGATGGCAGCTGTCTTGTTGATTCGATCCCAGTTGGCTTGGAAGTCAGGCTTATAATTTAAGCCTCTTGGTAAGTATGGCGGTTGCAGTTTGTTTGCCAAGTATGGCGGTGGTTCGGTTTTTGCGATCGACTTTTTGAAATTGCGGATCTGTGTATGGAGGTGGGTTCGGTGGTGGGCGTATTCTTGGAAAGTTGAAGTCCTCGTCAGCCAGGCGGTGCTTGGTGGTCTTGCTTGAGTCTCTGGATTTGTTGGTGTCTCGCTCCAATGATTGTTCTACTTGAGAAGCGAGTGAGTCTAGAAATAGGATTCGGAATCAGACATATCCGTTTCCGGAATGACTTGGCCACGCACAATTGGTGAGGATGGTGGGGATACAGTTAGTTTGCTACATTTCGTTATGATGTGTCTGATATCGAGTTGGAGTATCTGCACAACCAAAAATTTTCAAAATTGACTTTGTGGTTTTGTTCAAGGTAGTTATTTTAAAAACAGTCAGACGGACACTTTTTGGGGACATACTGTGTTTGAATAGGAAATTAGTTGACAATTGACTTGCACATTTCCAAAGTACCCCTTCACGAAATGTTTGAACCCAGCTCTGTAGCGCTAGCGCTTTGAACGTGCACGCCCAAATGCATAATAATTGGTTGCTACGGATAGTACTTTGGTTGCTATGGGTGTACAGTGGAACGCTGCTATACTGAACACCGCTATACCAAACATTCGGCTATACCAAACATCATCCTCTGCTACCAGTTTTAATGTACAAAACGTACCAAACATTGTTGTTGAAAAAAGTCAACAGATTAACAAAAAATCTACCGGTTGTATACATGTATTAAACACTATTGGGCCACTTTTAATTCCCGAACATCAAACGACCCATAGTTACATTGAGTTTGAATGTTGAAGAGCGATAGATGGCTATTATTTCCCCTAGGAATAAAAGGGAAAATCACCCATTGCTAAAGTTTCCTGACGACTCCTCTCGCAGCCGCAGAATGTGAGAAGTGCCAGTTCACAATTGATCAAAAGAGGGTACCAGCGGTTCAAAATCGCTATACCGAACGATCGTTATTAGGAACACTTTCTGTGGATCTCATGAAGTTTGTTATAGTGGCGTTCCACTATAGTACTTTTGGCCATGCCAGCAAGATAGCAAAATTAGCGAATGCCATGTGACTCGCTCTCGGCCAATCAAGATACAGAATCTGTGGGGGGGGGGGTTGTGGTATTATAATACAATGCACAACCCAGGGTGTCCAGGGATTGGTCTTTTCCACAGTGCATTTGTGGGACGCAAGCACACGTAACAGTCTTCATGTTTTTATGCCCCACCGGCGAACATACTGTTTCCGCCTTGTCCGTCTGTGTGTGTGCGTGAGTGCTCTTGTATTGTATTACGCTCGAGGACAGACAACAAAAGGAGCACAAAGGAGCACAAACGGTTATGTGCTTAGTCTATGGAAAAGTGTTATATTAGAGGGACAAAGGAAAACACAATAGTTGTCCTCAGGCGTATAGTAAAAAAAGACTGTGTGAGGGTGGGTGTGTTCCTGTATTGTATTACGCTCGAGGACAGACAACAAAAGGAGCAAAAAGGGGCCATTCATCCTCGAACGACGGTGCCTATTGTCCTCGAACGCAGGTTTGTGCACTAAGTCTATGGGAAAGGTTTAGATCAGGGAACAAAGGAAAACACAAAGCCAATCCTCGGAAGCATAGCAAAAAACGACTGAGTTTGTCTTACATTCCCTATGTGGACTTGTGAACAAAAGATGTCCACATAATGCAGGTTGTGTTGACGTTATGTGGACTAAGCCTTGTCCACATAACGTTTCGCCCTCTCTGGAAAACAGGTTTAGAGGCATTTTGGGGTTAGGTTTATCAGTGGCAGAGTGAAGAGAAACACTAAAGGAAATCATAGAAAAAAAATTGGGTTGAAAGAGTTTTCACAGTTAAAGTAAAGTTATTTTTTGTGCCGAGTTTTCTTAACTACACGAAAACAAAGGAATGTCCGCATAGCGTATGTAAAACATGTGTGTGTGCGTGTGCATTTGGTTCCACAGCGATATCTGGATTGTATGTCCATGTATACCTTGATACAATGAAGGTAGCTTGCTAGTATAACTTACAGAAAATGAATACGTTTGGACCCCATAAGACAAAGGCCAGGATTAAAACAATAGGATTTTATTTTATTTATTCATTTATTTTTTTATTTTTTTTTACCAAACCAGTATGCATGTGCAAATGTAATCACTCACTAAAATATTAGGGGGCCTGTACACTGTTTATACATTTTTTTTTTTTTTACAATCAGTGTGGCTTCTCCACTCTTTTTTCTTGGACAGTCATATTTTAAATTGAAACAACAGAAAAAAAAATTCTCAATAGACACATGTACATGTAACACTAAAACTTGAGACTTGCACCGTAGTACATGTACATGTATGCAGCTCCGTGGGTTGTTCTTAGGATTTTGCGTCACTTTCGGACCCCATAGGCCAACTGTTCTCATTATTAAAAACCAAAGAAATGATGTCACGATGATAACTCAAGCTTATTCAGATAACCATATTTTCTTTTGATTATTTAAAAATTCTCATTTCCATGTAGGCCTTGTAAATGCTCAAAGGATTATGCTAAAAGGATTTGCCTTTGAGAAATGTCTTGCTTAAGACTGAAAATATCCAGTCGTTTGCTTAAATCACATACAATGACTTCCCAACAGAAAAGCAAAAAAAACAAAAATTCATTATGGGATCATAGGCATCAATACATTACATATATAACCTAAAGAAAACAATAACGATGTCAATGAACGTTCCATGTGACCCAGGTAAGTTGATGTTAATAGAGTGGTGTTATGTCATGGAAATAGGCATGGTTGCGGGGCATTTGTGTGTTTTAACACTACTTTTCTTGTTTAAGCTTGTGATTCAAAAGTGACTTTTATTACTGAGGCTTTCACATGCACTCATTTTTGTGTAGTTCTGGATAAAGTAATCCGACAGTTAAACAAGATGGCATCGAAGTTTGATATAAATTCAAACTTGAGTAAAATTTCATTAAACTCAAGCCAAGCTTAAGTTCTTACATAGTGCACCAGTTACATCACATTGGCAAGAGATATCATGATTGTCTTTGATTATCTGCAGGCATCCTTGATGGAATATATGGATTGTGTGTGCCGCCTTATGGTAGAGTTCAAAGCAAGGAATGAATTGGTGCTCCATGCAGCAAGGGCCATAGCCAACTTTGCTAAATGTCAGCAGAATGCATACAGACTCGTGAGTGCACCATGTTATATTTACATATTGTGCAGGGATCAAATGTAATGAGCCATTGTACATTCTTTTTAAGAATTAACATTAAAATAATTTAAAATTCAATGTTATATAAATTATGTTCCTCCAACTTAGTGTTAATAGGACCTCTCACCCACCTCCTTTCAAAATATAAATGTTAAGTGTTCTTTATGTGTGAGATATTCAGGCCAGTTGAAGGATAGAGTTCCAAGAAAGAACCAAACTAAACAATTTTGTGTTCAAGAGTGCATGGTTCTGATTGTTCTGTTTTGACTTTCAGGGTCAACATACTGCTGACGTTGTTGCAATCTGCATGAAGGTAAGTTTACATCAAGAAATCTCCTGAAAACTTGAAATGCTTGCAAGGTTTCAGCACAAACACTGATTGTAAACTGAGTACAATCAAAAATCTTCACATCTAGAATAGTTAGTTTATGTATGTGTGCACATTTACACCAAAACAATATGTCCTACTGGGCGCCTTACGGAGTTGGGAGTATCTAAGTCCACATAGTCACATTGTTGTCAGAATTAGATGTGTCACATAAGGGCAGGCCTATGGTAACTCAAATTACGTTCAAAAGGGTCTTCCGTCAACTTCGTGCTGTTATTCTATAAAGTCAAAGCATTCAGGGTGGATTTTTCTCACAGTAGATCTCTTATTGGTTAGTCCATGGTGGTGACCAAAACAAATGCAACCCTAAAAACATTTGCCTTTAAAAAAAAGGAATCTGTGGATTTTTATGTTTTGGGTATAAGATTAAATCTGAGAGCATTTTCTTTCAAATACTAAAAAAAATCAACAAATAGCACTTTGGGTTGCTGAGAAATTGCCAATTATGTAAAAGTAGTCAATGTTCATCCTGTACACAAACAATTATGACAGAAGGGATTTTCACTGTACACTTGTACATGTCCTAATCCTTACAATGGCACATAATGTGACAAGAGTATTTGATGGAAATGCCTTTTATTTTCCACCTGAACGGGTATCTCATCCTTTCAGGGGCGGATCCTGGAATTTTTGCAGGGGGGGTTTTCATCAGCCAAAAAATCTGAAAATGTACACAGGTTTTTTTCTCCGGACACTTGGCCTCCGTAAAATCAAAAACTGGGGGGGGGGGGGTTACCATATTTCAATAGGGGGCGCTGTTCAAATTCGACGATTATTAACACTAGATAACAGAATGGTGTACCGTATTTTGAACAGGCGGACATTATACCAGTATAATTTTTTTTTGGGGGGGGGGGGGGTTCGACTTATTTTTCAGGAATTTGTATAATAATTTTTTTTTTTGACAGCTGGGGTTTTTTTTGACCCCCAAACCCCCCCCCCCCCCCTCTGGATCCGCGCCTGCTTTTTAGTCCTATTTTAAACCTTTTCAGCATCATAAATATGTCAAAATACTAAAGAATTGCACAAATGAAGGATAATTGCACAGTAGGCTTACAGTAAAATGTTTCACTCTTTGAAGTACTTGTGTACATGATGACAAATGACTACTTTTACATAATTGACATTTTTTTCAGCAACCCAAAGTGCTATTTTCATGATTTTTTCATTATTTGAAAGAAAAAGCTTTCAGATTTTATCTGATACCAAAAACATAAAAATCCACTGATCCCCTTTTTCCTTTTTCTTTTTAAAGGCAAACCAGTTGTAGAGTTGCATTTTTTGGGTCACCCTGTATATTGTTCACCATAATGCGTATGCGTACAGGGGGAGGGGGTTGGAAGCACTGGGGAGGAGTCCTAAAAATTCGGCATTTCTAGGTACGTACTTTATGCACGGCCCCTAGAGGGATCCATTTTCATAACTCACATTACTGTTACTCACGTAACAGTTAAAACATATAAGAAACAAATAATCAAACAATTACCTCTTTTGGCACAAAATGTTAACCTTTCTCTGTGTTTTAAAAACAAAAATCCACAATAACACTTGTAATTTGCATATGTGCCAATACGACTGCCAAAAATCCATAATTTCTGGACAAAGAATACACATAACCATATTCCATCTCACTGCCACTTCACTTGAATGAAAGATATTATTGAAAGATGTTATTGTCCCCTTTAATTTGATACCATAGTTTAGGTTGTGATGCTTGTAGAGTCTGAATATTTCATAAATGTTCCACTTTCCAGCCATGTCCACCTTCTCCAAGAGGCAGACTAAAAAGATGTTCCTCATCAGCCGTGTGGTTGCGAAGGCCTAAGCGTCGTCGTTGTTAAACAAAGTTAATCCGATTATGTACTTGGACGGTATAACAGAGCAGTGAAATTCATGCACCCAAAAAACATGGCCTTTTGATTGTTGTGTTTCTCAAAAAATATTGTCAGTATGATTGAAATGTTAAATTATAATGGAAGAAGAAATTCTAAACTTCATGTCATTGAAAGAAATTGTTGTCATCGATACCGAAACATCAATTCTGGTTACTGGTAAAGCTGAAAGTCAGGAAGAAGTCATTCGTAAACGTCCCCAAATCATGTAGTTATCTCAATTTGTAGGAATCCCCTCAAGTTGTTATTTCACGAGAAGTTGAACACTTATATCAACTTTTCCAAATTTCAGCTTAATCTGTTTTTGCTAACGCTTGTGTTACACCTTGAACTATCTCCAAGGTAACTTTCAATGAGGATTTTTTTGCCTACCAAATTAACTCACGTGCATGGTTTTCAGGTTGGCTGGTTTGAGGGTAACAATGACAAATTGCATATTAGCATATTCATTAGTGTCACTCTACGTGACTTCACGTGGGTTTCGGTATCGACCAATGGAAGCCGGCAAAAAGTATGATATTTATTAATTAATAACTCGTGAAGGAGGCTATTCTGCAAATTTTTACTGCACACCATAATGGATAGGAACCTAATTAAGATTTGTGAGGCTTGAAAAGATTGACAGATATTGCAAACACCAATATTACAACTTTTAAAAATGCACGTAGCCAGGCCTATTTTTCCAATTTCAACAAAAAGTACTGAACATATCAAAACGATTTTTAGCACATAGTTGGATCATTATAAGGGAAACAAACCCTTGAAGTTGCATGAAGATATGGTCTTCCAAACGGGAAAAATTAATTTTCAAAGATTTCGCCCGCCAACGTGAACATGTTCGTGTGCATGTTGTTTCATTCAAAATAAAGTATTACGTAACCTTTAGAAATTGGCCTTGGCAACCACATGGCTGCCATGGCACCAACCTGCTTCCTTTCCCCAACAAACAATGGGATCTAAAGTTAGGCATCTAAAGTTTGGGATCTAAAGTTAGGGCCCTTTGTTGTGCGGTGATGATTTTTTTTTCCCCAAGTTGTTTGGTATGATTTATTTGATGGTTGTATTTTTATAGTCTAATGTGCCTGAAGTTCATTACCATGGATTAAGAGCTGTCTTCTCTCTACTGAAACACTCCACAGCCATCACCACCATGGACTTGATGAAGTAAGTACATACATGTATATATACATGTAAGCAAACATTTATCTATGAACAAGAAATACCGTATTTATTCTTATGTATGGTCATTGGTAAGGTGGCGTCATCTCTTTGACGTTTTAGTTGGATTAGGTTATCATCACTGATTTGAAAGACCAAACCGTACTAGATTGAGTGTTTGGGGCTTTACAGGGTGCGCTCATCAAGTAGTCAAACAGATTTTTTGAAAGAACATAGGGATTTTTCCAAGCCAAAATTTTTAATCAGAAAACTTGGCAAATGAGATTTAGTAATTTTCTAGTCGTATACCAAGTATTAAATAAGTTCCATTAAAGTATATTGGCTAAATGTTTTGTGGTTCATACTCCATTTATGGCCTTGATTTAATTATATGCTGTTATCACTACAATTCGTTAGATGCCTTTTGAAATGACTGATACATATCGTGTCTTGCAGACAGTTGATTGGCAGGCAAACCCAATGCCTGACTGCTATCCGGTTCCTTAGTGTGACGTCACTTCAGTCTAAACCACGCCCACTGACCATTCAATAGCATTGGAACCATTGGAACTGGAACTTAACACAACTTAAGTGTTTATCCAATGGGCGCTAATAATCAGTGGTGCGCGCGCGTGTATACACCAGATAATGGCAAGCCCCTTGAATTGCTTATTGTAGGTATTTTCCCAAACTTTAATAAATTGTGTTGCTTCCTTTAGACAAGAACTTTGAATGAGACATAGTATTTTGTGCAGTTGTCCTTCCTTCTGGCTTCAATAGCAAAAAATAAATGCTTCTTTACAAGTTGATTTATATGTTCGATGATAAAGGGAATAGTTGGATTTGCATTGCATGAACTGTGCAGAAAGTCTTGATTCAACTAGTATTTCTTCTAAAATCAGTTGAATCACACAGAAGGTACATTGGAGTGCAGTGTTTGGTGCAGAATTTTGACAAGTGATCATTATGAATATGAGACAATGCACTTGTTTAGTGATTTGTGCTGCACCCTATTTAATAAAAAAAAAAAGGCAGTATAGCTTTTTACAATTATCCTTCCTTCTGGCTTCAGTAACAAAAAAAGAACTGCTTCTTTACAATTTGATTTACATGTTTCCAAGACTTGAATACTTACTATGTGCATATTCAAATAAGGTTTTACCCTTCACCGACGTATAAACACTGTATACTCAGTTTATTACCTCCCAAGTGAAAGTTGGAAAAAATCACTTCGGGTGGGAGTCGAACCCATGACCTCCTGCTTTCTAGTGCAGATGTCTTACCACTGGACCACCGAGCTAACGGGATTGGTTGGCTGGTTCAAATCTGATGTACATAGTAGCAGGTACCGCATTAACTATTCATAAGATGGTATTTTACGTCGGAGTGATGTAAATCAAATTAGGTTTTGCCCTTCACCGACGTATAAACACTGTATACTCAGTGTGTTACCTCCCAAGTGAAAGTTGAAAAAAAAATCACTCGGATGGGACTCGAACCCACGACCTCCTGCTTTCTAGTGCAGATGTCTTACCACTCGACCACTGAGCTAATGGGATTGGTTGGCTCGGAATCTGATGTTCATAGTAGCGGGTACCGCATTAACTATTCATAAGATGGAATTTTGCGTCGGGGTGATGTAAATTAAATTAGGTCGTGGGTTCGAGTCCCACCCGAGTGATTTTTTTTCCCCAACTTTCACTCCGGAGGTAACACACTGAGTATTCAGTGTTTATACGTCGGTGTAGGGCAAACTTAATTTGATTTACATCACCCCGACGCAAAATTCCATCTTATGAATAGTTAATGCGGTACCCGCTACTATGTACATCAGATTCGAACCAGCCAACCGATCCTGTAAGCTCTGTGGTCAAGTGATGGGACATCTGCACTAGAAAGCAGGAGGTCGTGGGTTCGAGTCCCACTCGAGTGATTTTTTCCAACTTTCACTGGGGAGGTAACACTCTGAGTATACTGGTATACAGTGTTTATCGGTGAAGGGCAAAACCTAATTTGATTTACATCACCCCGATGCAAAATTCCCATCTTATTTCTTTTGGTTTTCAACTTTTGTTTCCATAGAGATGGGGCAACAGAGGTATTTACTGCGCTAGCCAGCACACCTGGTGCCATTGAAAACATTCAACAGAGTTTACTTCATCACGTTGTGGAGATTGCTGGTCCATGATATGATCTCAAATGTCAATAGAGGGCGCTTTATAAGGTTGTTAAACTCTGCCCTTTTGGGAGATTGACTCATATTGTGATAACATACCAATATGTTAGTGACTTAATATAAAAATGTTTAAAAAACTGTAATGGCCGGTTGACTTACTGAAGTTGTTAGTCAAATGTTTTTGTCTGTGAAGGCGAAAACCAATGCCTGAAGTGTTGCTTGTAAATATTTCCAGAGAGTTGCATGCCACTGGAATAGCCTGCCATGACACATGAATTCTTTAAGGTGAAAAATCATTCGGGAAATAAGAGTTGACCACAACCACAAAGTGCCCAAAGTAAGTCCAGTATGAAGTTGCCAAAATCTAAAGAAGGGTGCTGAACAACTAAACTAACCTGATAAAGTTTCAGCTCAGCTTCAGCTGTATATTCCAAGAAAAACAACGGTCTAGCATCTCGATTTCAAATCAAAAGTTGCTGAATCATGTTTTGAATTGGGCCTGAATTCAGCATCCCGGACACGTTTTTGTTGAGCCGATTGCAGCTACATGATGACGCGCACTGATCCGACAAATTAAAGCAACCACACGCGCGTGTGCGTCGTGTCAATGCTTGTGCGCGCTTCGCCGAATAAAAAAAAACGAACTACTAACGGAAACTTCCAACGGTGCGTCTTAAGGCCTTCTTTCGTTGATTTCCCTCAAAATGACAGCATGCTCTAAAGAATAATTACACAGGGAGTTTAGTCCCCTTACTATCTTTCAACCAAGTATGTTTTTCAACAATAATTACGTCAGTTACTTTTTAGATAGCTGCAAATGATGGACTATAGCTTTAAATAAATTAAGTACACATTGCGCTATACTTCACACAGAATTCTGTTCATAATTTTGAATTTCTCAAACCAGTTTAGATTAAGCAGCTTTTGTGGTAATGGCCAAAACATTTTTTCATGTGATTCTGGTGTTTTTGTTTTTGTTTAATTGTATTGTGAACGATAGTTACAGAACAGAGAAAAGCTGATTTACAAAGGGAGAGTGCGATACTCTCATTGCGTTACATGCACTATGCAAGCTGAGTTGGATCTCAATGCATGACCTTGAGGCACACTTAGATTTCTAGCAATTGCAGCTTTTATCTTTCACTGTGCACTACTTTTTGTAAAAGTGAACCTTTCTTTTAAAAAGAAAGGTTCACTTTTACAAAAAGTCATTTTTCACTTAAATTAAAGAAAAACCATGTATTTGTTAGCTGATCACTCAGTCCATGCACACTGATACAGCACAGCACAGCATAGATCATGTTGGTCATTGTACATCAGTGGCTGTTCATATACATGACTTCAACGTCCATTCATTATTGGCCATTATTGTCAGCATAAAAATGTCTCCTTTCATCAAAACAATTATGAATTTATAATTTTCAGGGTTGGCTGATTTAAATCATGTTGATTTAAATCACTGATTTAAATTGCGATTTAAATCAAATGGTTTTTTTTTTTAAATCACCGATTTATATCACTTTTTTTGTAGAAACCTTATTTTTGGCAAAATAAATTGATTGAGGGTATTTAATCATTTAAATCAACCGATTCCACAAACATGTGATTACAAAGTGTAAGATGTTGTTATTATGTTAACACATTCAAACACCCCAACTTCATCAGCATTGTCTCAAGTTACATGCAGGATTTGCATAATTACCCCAAATCATTGTTTTGATTAAAGTCAAGATCTGAGTTGAAGAGTTTCTCTTCGAAGTTTGAATTAAGACGGCACACTCACTTTTGCTATAATCATTCCTTGATCTGTAATATTGTTACGAGTCCGAGTCATCATGGTCAAGTCCGAGTCATTTTCCAATTTGACTCGAGTTGAGTCCGAGTCACAAAAAATGTGACTCGAGTCTGACTCGAGTCCGAGTCCTGGACTCGAGTCCAACAACACTGCCACCTAGTATGAAGGACCATTAATCAAACACTATAAGTTACACAAGGATCAGTGCTGCCGGTTTTGAAATTAGAAATAAACATGCCCATGGAGAACTGTACTCATATTTTTTTGGTATACCATGTACATGTTCCATAAATCACATTTTTCATTCATATCCACACACAACGTATCTCAGCTGTATCAATCAAGCCATGCACATTTAAGTGTATTCAGTATTTATGTACCATTGAACCAATGATGTAGACTACATCAAGTAATCAAGCAATTTTTCGCTGATTCAATACATTTTTTTTCAAAAGCATTTATCAGTTTATTGAGTTTTGTGGATGATGGGTATTATAAGGGTGGACGGGGAGATTTAGACACATTTTTAGACATATCAATATTTTGAAAGTTAAAAAAATCAAAAGAAAATTTGATTAAAATTTTTAAAAATCTGATTTAAATAAAATATATCAGATTTTTTTTTTTTTAATCACAAAAATTGCCAACCCTGATAATTTTATGGAAGTATTAATAGTTTTGGTTGGGCAAATAGAACTATATTGTAAGTGTTGCAATAGGGCAACCATGCCTAACTGAACTATTAAGTTGTATGTAGTTGGGTATATTTTGGAAGTGCCATGTTTAGGGATTTTGACTGGTTCAGCAGCTTGGCTGCAGCTCCAGATTGTGCCCACACCAATGTGACGATTTAACCATTGAACATTCATTCCATTATCGTAATGTTGCCTACCTAATTGTAGGTTTCCACATACCAAATTGAAACTTCATTTTTTTTTTATACATAAACAATATAACAGTAACACCATGTAAACATACCTGATGCCAACAGAACAAATGTAAAGTATATTGCCTTCTTATAACCTGGCCTTCTTATAGATTGCCTTACTTCAAGCAAAAGTGTATTTTGGTCTCATGTAACTGATTTTCACTTTTTTATATTGATATATTTTCTCATGTGCAACTAGTGGTGAAGATACATGATCTTCCTTCGAACCTTTTTGCTGTGCACAGCATATCTATTGCTCTTTCTAAACCAGTGTTGTCTTATTGTAGCTAGCTGCAAAGCAAGTATATTTTTTCCATTCAATAAAAATTAAAAGAAAAACCAGAATGGCAAGACTATTCAGCCTCATCAGATCATTAAATAGGGATGGGGCTGAAGCGTGTAGTTCATGCAATTCAATCTGAATTCCATTGGATTCTATTTTATGTTGAGTGTATAATCACATCTTTCAATTCTGGTTGTCTGCATATATCCTTACCCAAAGATTGCCAATGCATTGGCAAAACTGTAGTCAAAGACCAAATGAACATTGCCATGTACAAAATGTGTATAAGGAGCACAATAGTTTTGTTTGGGTTTTTTTTTCAAAGAAATCTGCCGTTTTGATAAAATCAAAATGATTATAATCTTTTTAATGATATATATTTTTTAAGTGATTACATAAATGTTGTTTAAAAAAAAATACAATTTTTTTCACATCAGTAAGCATTTACTTTTATATAAGAAAAACATTGTATAATTTTAAAGGAAGACTGCCCAAGTTGTCTTTACTACACAAACGATATCGATCAGTATCACATTTGTCCTTGTTCATTTGTTTGAAATTTAAAATGTCAATCCTTTCTATATTTTCTGTTGTAAACAAAATCTGATCATCTTGATGGCATTTGCCAACATTTAGTATGAATTTGTATATAATTGTTAATGTTAATAAATTGTGTCTCCTGCTCAAAATTTGAACAGGAAAGAGTATTAATTTGAACTGAGACTTATTTTCTTTCTCTAAAGATAAAGATTCTGATTTTTGTATCAGGTACAAATAAATGACTGCCTTAAACCAGTGCTTCAATATTACAGTCACTGACTATTTTTTATGCTGTTTTGTTCTGCCTTTTCATATTAAAGTGACAGTGAAAAGTGAAAACCCAACGCTCATGTAAGTGCTTCTATAGCAAAGATTGTTAGGGCAACATACCCTTCTTTCGCCACATAACAGTAGGGATAGGCCCAGCTTCTGTTGTAGCGGTGGTTTGCAAACACAATGGGACAAACATATTAT